TCTTTCCAGAATTCCAAGTAACAAGCAGCATAACCAAATGGTGTGACTGTAGAGCACTAATGCCGGCAGCAAAGAAGAAATCAAATCCTGGCTTCCTGACTCCTGGTCCACTGTTCTTTGCCTACAAGCAGACTTTCTCAAGTCATTTTAAGTACCAAGAGCCTGATGTAGAGCAGCAGCTGTTCGAAAAATGACAAAGGAAGTCTGCCTCTGAGTGCTGTTCTCCTGCTGCCCCACAGTGGGGTCTTATCACAAACTCTACCCAAGTTTCTCAGCACAAATACTTCTCCCCTATTGGCTAGCCACTAACCAAACTAATCACTTTGCAGTAATATATATCAGAGTAGTGGAAATTTAGAGAAGATTAGTTTGGTTAAGAATCAAAGTACAGGGCTTCCCTGGTGGCGCAGTGGTTTAGAGTCCTCCTGCCAATGCAGGGGACGCGGGTTCGTGCCCCGGTCCAGGAAGATCCCATATGCCGCGGAGCGGCTGGGCCCGTGAGCCATGGCCGCTGAACCTGCGCGTCCGGAGCCTGTGCTCCGCAATGGGAGAGGCCACAACAGTGAGAGGCCCACGTACCGCAAAAAAAAAAACAGAATCGAAGTACATATAAATGCTAAAAAAAAAATGAAAGAATATCTTGTTGATTTAATACCTCAGTGGGATGAGCTCTTATAAATACTAAGTAATTTAATCTGAGTACTTTTGTTAACTATAAGTAGATGCACATTATAGAAAATTGGGAAAATATAGAAAGTGAAAAGAAAAAAATTGCATAATCTCATCACACACACAAAAAATACAGACAGGGCTTCCCCGGTGGCGCAGTGGTTGAGAGTCCCCCTGCCTATGCAGGGGACACGGGTTTGTGCCCCGGTCCAGGAAGATCCCACATGCCGCGGAGCAGCTGGGCCCGTGAGCCATGGCCGCTGAGCCTGCGCGTCCGGAGCCTATGCTCCGCAACAGGAGAGGCCACAACAGTGAGAGGCCCGCGTACCACAAAACAAAACAAAAAAAACCCAGACAATTCTCACTTTTGCATGCGACTGTGTTAACTGAAACCTGTACACATTGGAACTGTGTCCTCACTTTGCATGATTCCTTGGTAACTGAGATCAAATCTGTACTGCCTGTACTGTTAACATTCAGTTTTTCTTCCAAATTATTCTTTATGTACATATTTTTTAAAACTAACTTGGTATATTATATTGTATTTTCAGTTTTATATACTACTTTTTTCAATTAATAATAAACTTTTTTCAAGACACTAAATATTCTTTAAGAATATGATTTATAATGGCTACACAGTTTTCCATTCTATGGATACACTGCAATTTAACATATACCTTTCAATTCGATATGTCTGTTGTTTCCAATCTTTTGCTATTATAAATAATGCTGTGATGAATATTTTGGTAGTAAATTTTTGTGGTTATCTCTAATTAATTCCCTAGGATAAATCCCTAAAAGTAAAATTACTGAGGGATATGGCATGAACATCCTTAAGACTCTTAATACATACTGTCAAATCTCCATCTCATATTAAAGTTCTTTTAAAAGAAGGTAGAACAATGGCAGTTAAGCCAATCTTTTATGAGCCCCTAAAAACAAACAAGTACCCTTTCTCTCACACGTACTCATGCAGATCACTGGAAGTTAAACCTCAAATCCTCATTCTACCATCTCACCAGATTTCTATATAGCTCTGAAAAGATATGACCACCATTCCTTTACTTTTAAAGATTAGTCATAATATGGGCTTCCTAGATTTCCTCTAGACTTTTCTCACTTCTTTAAAAGGAGGAAACTTTTAAATTTCTAACTCAACTGTGAGATTAACTTTTTCATACAGACCTAAATTTATGAGCACTTCTGGAATTAAACAGACTGGGGTGCATTTCTAATCCTAGGCATTTACGAACTGTATGACCTCAGGTTAGTCACTTAATCTTTCTAAGCCTGTTTCCTCATCTATAAAAAGGGATAATGCTGCCACTTACTTTTTAAGGGTGGTCCTGAGGATTACATAAGAAAGTAATGTAAAGTGTGAAGCACTCATTCTCAGCATACTGCTTGCGTAGTAAGCACTCAATATTATTACAATATATTATTATTACTGTATAAATATATAACATACAATCGTATTACAGTAAGATTTTCTAAAGCTCTGTTTATATCTGAAATAAAATAACAGACTAGCTAAACTAGTTTTAGTGCTAACAGGCAACACTAAGATAATAGAATTACCAAAATCTTCACAAGAAAAAAAGAAATGGAGTCTTTTTTTTTAACTGAAGTGTAGTTGATTTACAATACTTTGTTAATTTCAGGTGTATAGTATAGTGATACAGTTTTTTTGTTTTTTGCAAATTATATTCCATTATAGATTATTACAAGATATTGGGTATAATTCCCTGTGCTATACAGGAAGAAATGGAGTGTTTTACATCTGAGTGATATAAAAGAAAAGAAGCCATGTGTTAAAACATAAGAAAATGTCTTTCAAAAATACAGGCACTTTAAAAAGCATTACACACACACACACACACACACACACACACACAAAGTATTATAAACATTTCCTTAAAATTTCCTTAATAAAATTTAAGAATATGCCATACCTATCATTCAAAGGCAAATTAAGCTAATGAACAGTTCTCTCTGAATTACTGATAAGAAAAACTTATTAAACAAGTTTCCCTCACCCCCAATTATTAAACAGAAATAGATTAATAAAAGAGCCTGTTATAACCAATATTTCTTTATAAAATAAACACTGTTTCCTTCAAGTTTTTAACAAGGATCTACCTATTTAAAGAAAGAAAGATTTTTCTTTCTTTCTTTAAAATGAGGGAAATGTTGTGATTATAAAAGATACCATAATATCTAGGACCTATATGCACATGGCATTGTGCTAGGTATTCTAAAATCTGAGTTCAGAGATATAATAGGAGTTTTATTTAACACTGAACAGCAGGAACAATCAACTGTTCAACAATGTCATAAAGGGCTTTTGGCTTTCTAATAAAGAATTTAAATCAAAACAGAGAATAAAAAAAAATGTGAAATACTTTATACTTGCTAGCCAATTGTTAGCCAGCTGTTGATAAACTAGCTTTAATATATGCAAAAAGAAATAAACACAAACATATTCACAGAGTCCTGCTTCCAAAAGGACTGCTCAGTCTTGTCTGGTTAAATATATCAGAAACATAAAATTTTAGTATATACCGACAGGCACGAGGCATGGGTGTACAAACAGGAAAACAAGAGCATTTCTGTTTCTCTTCTCTCATGAAGTTATCAACTACCACTATCATTAAACATAACCCCCAATTTTTGTTTCTAGTAGTTATCAGGAGCTAAGGAATGCTAACAAGCCTCAAGATAAGAAAGCTGTCAGTATCATAGAAGAGTAGCCAAATAGGCCAGGAAAAGTAGGAATCTCAAAACCAAAAGCAAGCAACACCCAGAATCTGTGGCAATCTATTTGAAAGATTTTTCTAATTCCTAGCTAGTTTCAATAAAGGCTACACAGTTATAATTTTATTAACATATTGAATATTTTTTTAAAAATACAGTATTCTCTTAATTTTCTGACACCAGTTCTAGGAAAGCAGGGAAGGGGCAATGAAGCACACTGACAATATCTATCAATTAACACACACACAGAAAAAGCACAGATATTAAGTGCCCAAAGAACCTCAAACTGACTTCTAGTAAATCATTCTAATTTATAGTTCATGTACAAGATACCTAAAACCAAAGAACAAAACTCTCTATGCACATGATACGGTTGTACAAAATTGGGGATTTCCCCCCTCTAAGGAGACTTGCTGGCTCAGCAGAGCAACAACTGATCAGTTTGGGGCAGCAGGGAAGGAGAGGGAGAAATTGACAAAACAGAGCAGGGTTGGTGGGGGCAGAAAACTATAAGGTATATTCCATCTGGAATATGTAGATTACTTGGTTTTAGCAAGAAATTAGCCACCTCAAAATATATTTGTCATCGTATCATGTTTTGTATGGTAAGTCAAATCAACTGTAATTCCTCAAAGAGTTTCCAAGCTTTACAGTCAAGACTTAGTATCCTGGAAATAGCTACATTATGGCAGATAAACAACTGAGTATTGAGAAGTTATGTTTTTATATGACATGCATCAAATATACTGCTGGAAAGTTGCATACCCAACTTCTATCACACCTGTGCCTGAGCAGGTGCTCTGCCAAGAACAACGTGGCATCTCTCAGCTTCCTGATCAGCCGTGCTCGCTTTTGGGGGAAAGACAGAAATTTCTGGGGGATAAAATCAACATTCTTAGCAACTGCTCACAATAGAATGCCTTACCAAAAGGAGGTAGTCCATATGTTTGGGTTGCCTGAGGGTAGACAGCATAGGGTTGAGACTGCTGCAGTGGCTGATACTGAGTCTGCCCAGGGTAAGCAGTTTCCGAAACAGGAACTGAGAGGATATGTGCATAAGGTCTAGAAAAGTTCAAGAAAACAAAAACTTTCATGTGAGAAAAGTAGGGGAAATAGCTAATACCACTAACAGCAAAGAATCAGCAATGAGGAGACTAACCTGCCACATAAAATGTCTCTTACTATGGTCAGAAAGTAGAATTATTTTTTCCTTTCCAGGTTCTACTGTCACCTACCTATTAAACAATTTTACAGAAAATTTAAGTTTCAAATATCTTCCTCCCAAGGTCCAGTTACTATGCCTCAAACATTTGTGGTGTGCCACATGCAAGGCCCTATGTGAGATGCAAGTATGGACTAAACTCGTTTATGCCCTTATGTCTAAATATAGAATAAAACCCTAAAATGACATAAAACTGGACAGAACAGGATTGGCAATTGGCTCCATTCTCCACCTAGCCCTCTGGGCCAAAATAAAGTTCTGAGAGGGAAAGTGGGACTTAGAGAAGAGGGTGAGGCTGGCAGAGAAAAGGCAAGCAACCATAATAGAAAACAAGGGAGTACAGGTGTGGCCCAATATCCCCAGATCGAGCCTATAAAACAGAAGTCACATAACTAATAAAATCCAGGAAGTTCTAGACAGGACACAGAATTGCCCCACTGATACTTAATCCAGAGTACTGCCACTAGTTGGTGCCAACCACATCAGGTTTAGCTAGAGATTTGAACTTAACAGTGAAACTTCTGGGATTTTAAACTAGCTAGATGACCTGGTCATTTTATCCATGGAATAAGATGGTGCCACATTTTATGCACTGAATTTTTAGATACCGGTTATTTTATTTGATAAGTTATGCTGTACTTATAAGCAAGAAAGTGTCATATGCACCATATAGATCATAACAATAAAATAATGGAGGAAAGGGGTGTTTCAGAAAGGAAAAGATTTTTTTCCCCCAGTTTTGGGGAAGAAGAAAATGAAGGAAGCCTATAAAGAAATGGTCTGTGAGCTGAGCAGATAGCATGTGCAGAAATGGGAGAGAAAGGGTGTTTTAGGAAAAGAGAAAAACTCTGGCAAAGGTACAGGGGAAGGGCTTCAGCCTGCAAGGAGCACATATTATATTAAGGCAAAGTATTAAGAAGATAGACAGCAAAGACCTTGAATATGAGGCTAAAAGTGTTCAACTGGGAGTCACTGAAATTGCTGAGCAAAGAATGACAAGATCACAGCTGTTCTTTAATAAAGATTGGTTTGACATTTCTTTGTAAAATGGATTGCGGAGGGTGGTTGAAATAGAGGCAGTTAAAAAATGCAATGGTTTTAGCTAAGTGGTAAGGAGGTCTGCATTAAGATAGAAGGCATAGGGACTCCCCTGGTGGCGCAGTGGTTAAGAGTCCACCTGCCAATGCAGGGGACACGGGTTCAAGCCCTGGTCCGGGAGGATCCCATGTGCGGCGGAGCGGCTGGGCCCCTGCGCCATAACTGCTGAGCCTGCACTCTGGAGCCCGAGAGCCAAAACCGCTGAGGCCCGCCCACCTGGAGCCCATGCTCCACAATGGGAGAGGCTGCCAAAGTGAGAAGCCCATGCACCATGGCGAGGGGTGGCCCCTGCTCACAGCAACGAAGACCCAACACAGCCAAAAATAAATAAATAAAATAAATTTTAAAAAAATTAAAAAGGAAAAAGATAGAAGACATAGCTAATAAGGTGTCCTGAGTATAGCAGGTATACAAATATTTTTTGAACAAATGAATGAATTTGGAATATGCAATATTCACATCTCGGTAGACCCTAAGAGACTGAATTTGAAAATTTCTATTCTTCTTAACCAGATCTGAGACCAGGAAATAGCTCAGGTTGTAGCTGTTAATCAAATCATGTGGGAATGATTTAAAATCTTAGTGACTTCAAATGGATTAACCTCCAGATATGATAAAGATCATAATATCATTTTTTATATAGTGTCTTTATATTTATAGCTCAAATTATTTTCTTATCTTCTTCATAATGATCTCAGAGAATAGGTTCGGTCATTTCACAGAAGAAGAAAACCACATGAAAATGACTGGCCCAAGAATGCTATTAGTGTTAATACCAGGTTAGAATTTGAAGAACTCATTGAGCTGACTTTTCAATTAGCTCATTTTTTTAACTGACGCAAAATTCAAAAGGAAAAGGTTTTCTTTTTATAACATACCCATACATATCACTCACCTCTGCTACCAAAGGTGAGTGTTCTTTATGTACCCTGCCTATGTAAGCACATCAGAATTTATCCCAGTTTAATAAAGCACACTTGTATGTATCTATGTATATAGGCTCACTCTAGCAATGCACAACTGCTGGCTCGATATACACACTGTTCTGCACCTACTCATCTTGGAGATGATTAACTTAGTGGACCTTAAATGCTGATCTTACCCCATGGGGCCCAAAATATTGCCTCTAATGACGTCAACCCACTAAACCTGTTTAATCTCAAGCCTAGTTCTACTCTTCAGGACACTCCTAAAACAATAAATTGAACATAGATTAGGCTGAGAAGTCCCAGTCTGAGGCTGGCTTTAGCTTTTTAAATTGATCTCTCTATTAAAGTAGAGCAAAGACAGAATGATCAGAGGTCAATCAGTAATATGTTTACATCACTAATGGTATTTTGCATTTTTCAGTGCCTATTCATTTTGAGCAAGCTCCTGGGTAACAGTGATCTATTCCAGACAATCAACTTTTTAAAAGGATGTTATATGGACTATATTTAGAGGGAATGAAAAAACTGGAGTAGGGAAGAACAAGAAAGGTGAAAATAAGTTAAATGTCAACTTAATAACTTAAATATCAAGTTAAATTTTGCAATGAATCTAGAGAAAAAGCATACAGATTTTTGAAATAATTATTCAACTTACTTTGCAGAATACATTTGTGAGGTATAATCATTGGATGAGCGAGGGATGTAATCGGTGCATGTCATAACTGAAAGAAAGATATCACCAGGAAAAAGTTAGAACATTTCAAAAATGAAATGGGGAAATTTCATGTCTCACTGTATAGTCTTTCAAACTAAATAACAGAATACAACTTGGGCATCAGAAATTTAGAAAGACTACGCAGTAGGAAATACCTCGCTCTTCTAATAATGGGTTTAGAGACTTTTAGAGACAGTAAAAGAAGCTAGAATGTAAAGGGCATGGTAAAGCGCTCGCAAGTCAGTACCAACTGACCTCTACCTTCACCCATCACTGATCTACAACCATAGATGAAGCAACTTCCTAAGCTCTCAGCTGTGCTCATAGGCAAACTTAAAATGCAAGTTTTAGGTCTAGGAAACCACATTATACTTCTTCAGCTTATTCATTCTCTGGGTGCTTACCCTATTTTGAATAAAAGGTCATGAGAATGACTTGCAGGAAGACAGATCTGGAGCAAGAACTCAATTTTATTAGAAAACTGTAGCTACTGCTGTATATAATCAACAGCAGAAAGACGTAAGTATGCTTCTGTATTACTATTTTTTCAGCTTTGTAGTAAAGGCTTTATGTTTGGCAAAGCAGACACACACCTGAGGAACTGATGTAATACTCTGATAAACCATCAAGTAAAGAGACTTTCACAGCTAGTGCCCTCTTTACCTCTGTGACTTCATCCAGAATAGATACCGACATGAGGCTTGACCCTAATCATTTCATCTGGGATAAATACTGTAAATATTCAACTCAAGTTTGACAGATAGCAGAATCCTATTCATTAGCACTATTTCAGTCCATATTGTAGACAGAGTAACATCACAGAGCTTCTACCAGACTCCTCAACTGTTCAAACTTCCTTCAACAACTATAAAGGAGGTTGCTCTACTGTGATTAGGGACTAAGGGTGAACCAACTAACTTTATGTCCAGCTGGGTTCCCTGAGTGTCTGACCCAAAGAGGGAACCCTGATCAAGATCAGATGCAGGGACAATTCATACCCAACAGTACGATAAATCATCATCTGTGAGTTTATCAGGAATCTTGCCCACTGCCATTGTTCAAAATCTTAGAAAATACTTAATGGCAATTTGCAGATTATGTTAATCCATAATCACTTTGACAAAAATGAAGGGGATCTCAATTAGATCTAAAGTTCTTAGCATTCATCACATAGAATGGAAGTTCATTTGAAATTCTACATAATGGTTCCTTCTCTGCTTACAAGTACATTCAAAAACCCAAACCCTTCTCCTCCTCTGATTTACTTTAATTCTAGAAGAGGTCCACAAAACATCCTGGGAGATCTAGGCCAATTTTTACTTCTCTAGAGAATGAATGAGCCTTGATCTTTGCAGTACTTGGGAACTATGAAAGGCTTATGAAGAGTCAGGGCAAGGGACTTCCCTGGTGGTCCAGTGGTGAAGAATCTGCCTTCCAATGCAGGGGACGAGGGTTCGATCCCTAGTCAGGGAACTAAGATCCCACATGCCAGGGGCAATTAAGTCTGCGCGCCACAATGACTGAGCTTGTGCGCCTCAAAAAGAGAGCCTGCGTGCCGCAAACTACAGAGCCCACGCGCCACGAGAAAGAAAAGCTTGCGCGCCACAACTAGAGAGAAGCCCACGCACCGCAACGAAGAGCCCACATGCCGCAGTGAAAGATCCTGCATGCCGCAAGGAAGATCCCATGTACCGTAACTAAGACCCACTGCAGCCAAAATAAATAAAGAAAATAAATAATTAAAAAAAAAAAGAGTCAAGGCATAATCTGCTTAAAATCTGTAACTTCTCTGTCCCCTTGCCAAGCTGTGGGACAGCTGCCTTCCTACTAAATTGCAAAAGTATTAAGATCATTATTGTATGTGCGCTACATACCCAAGTCTTCTGTTCCCCTGTGACAAAAAATTGCATGTGAGGTGGGATAATCAAGTTTCAATGACCTATGTCAGCTACACAACAAAGCCAGACCCCAGAATAAAATTACACAAAATGGAAATAGAACCCAAATTCCTTTAGCTTTGTGTAAATAAATCTGGATGTGTTTAACTCTGTACTGGTTAAAAAAAAAAAAGCAGTGGAGATGAAGCAAAACCTTGAAATATATCCTGAAGGTAAAACTAACACGACATCCTGATGAATTTGTATGTAAGGAATGAGGAAAACGAGAATACAGGATAATTTCTAGGTTTTCAGCTTGAGTAATTAGAGGAATAGTGAAACCACTTCCAAATATGGGGAAGTTCGGGAAGAGAACAGATTTGGTGAGGGCTAAGGGTATAAAAAGCTTTCACACATTTTAAGTATGACTTTCCTTTTAAATATCTAAGTGGAGATGTCAAGTAGGCAGCTGGACTCACAAATGAAATTAGGGGAGAAGTCAGACTAGAAATACAAATTTGGAATTCGTTAACAATGTATAAAACATTTAAAGTAATGTAGTAATGGATGAGAGGATGCAGAAAGAGCAAAGATGGTAGACTAGAACCAAACCCTGAGGCCCACCAACATTCAGAGTTCAGATAGTAGAAGAAAGGCCAGCAAAGGAGAAAGGTGCGAGAAAAAATAGTGGGAGGCAGGATACAAGGAGAGAAATGTCCACTAGAACTAGCACTTTCAGTTACTGGAAGTAACTAATGACCTTGACAAAAGCAATTTCATTGGAAGAGTGGTGACAGAAGCTAACTTTGAGAGGGTTGAAGGGCGAATGGGAGGTGAGAAAGCAAGTGAGGGCAACTCTTTTCAGAGGTTCCAATGGGTCATGGAACAAAGAAAAGGTCTATATCTAGTGGGGGATGTGGACCCAAAGGATGGTTTTGTGTTTTAAGATGGTATATACTGAATCATGTCTCTTTACTGACAGGATGGATTAAGAAGAGAACATGACGATGCAGAAATGGTATTAGGATAACCAAAGTACCAAAGTCCTTGGGGGAGGTGAGAACAGATAGGGTATGAAGCACAAATAAAATGTTTTACCTTTCACAGGAGCAAGAATACTATTCCAATTCTGACAAGAATGAAGCAAGATAACATGGGTACAAACACAAGTAGCTTTGAAGGTCCGGTGGTGGTAGGATAATAAGGGAGCTTCCTGTCACAGAGAGCTTCTACTTGAGAAGGAGTCATCAGGTAAGCATGAAGAAAGGTGAATGAGTATAGGTGCTTCGAGAGGAAAGAAGTGGTGTGAAATATTAAAAGGTAAAACTCATGAGTAAAATGTAGTAGGGTGCCCACTTGAGGCCCTGTGAGTAAATAGTCAGCTAGGTGTATAATTCATCCAATAATGTTCAGCTATTTGAATGCACTTATAGAGAAGGCAGAGAGTTGGATTAAATTATGACTGGGGTTTAGCAAGAAGAGTACAAGAGGCCAAATTATTGAATATATTTGTAAGGGAGTAATTATAATAAAGAACCATAGAATCTATGCTGAGTAAAAAGGGACAGGAAAACAAGAAGGACATTATGGGTATTGGATAGGTCATCTACATGGATGTTGAAATTACCAAGAACAATAAGAGTCTGGATGGAGAAGAAAAAGAAGATCTAGTCTTTAAAGAGCAAAATGACTAGGAGTTCAGAGTCTGAGGTAAAAAGAAGTGTGGGGGAGGGGCACAAATATAGACTTCAAAGGAACTAGAGTTTTTGAGGAAAAAAAGAGAAATGCTTTTCAAGAAGCAAGAAGACAACTTACCTCTGGGCCCTGAAGTATAAAAGGAACAGGCCTTTTACTTGGGGATGAGTGAGATATTAAAAAAATTAGAGTAGACACTTTTCATTGATTAGAGCAGTTTCCCATATGTATCAGAATTAGCTATCTTCTTGAAAATGCAGATTCCCATCCACATCAGGTCTACTGATAATCACTGAAGATGAGGCTAGAATTCTACATTACAAACAAGCACTCCAGATGACTCTTAGGTATGCTGAAAGTTTGAGAACCACTGGAACAGCATCTTTGAGGAAATAGTATATACAACTCAAGACATACTATTTTTTTTTTAAATAGGCACACCATTTTTTAACACATGGGAATTATACAAGGTTAAGCATAATCATTTTAAGATATATCCCCCAAATAAATGTCTTTTCAAGAAGTGTCTTACACAAATTTATCCTTTTAAAGTGTGTGGGAAAATATGGAAGGGCACAGCTATTGGGTTGGCCAAAAAGTTCGTTCGGGTTTTCTCTGTAAGCTCTTATTTACTTTAATTTCAAGGAGGACTATTTGCCCTATGGAGCATACCACCATGATATGTCAGAGAAAGCTCATGTCTCCACAGGAAAAAAAAAAGAACATTCTCCAAATTTTTGTCTAATGTGTGAATATAACTGTTCTACAAGAGAATAAGGGTTGGTAAGTGGATCCCTGAGATGGATCTCCCTCAGGGCCCAGTATCAATCTTGGGCTCTCGGGGGATTACTTTTCTTTTTTTTGGCCTAGATGGATAGGTAGAATTATTTGGTTATTAGGAAGGTAGAAAAATATCTAGCCCTCTGGAGGAACAGTCAGAGGTTGGCCCACAAACTTTTCTGATTTTGAGTAAGGCACTATTTATTACCTTTAGAACATCCAACCTCGAAACAAAAACACAATCACCAATCCCTGGGGAGTGAATTCCTGTGATTTTGTTCCTTAGCTGGTATGTCAATAAGGCTTATAGGAGAGCACAAGGATGAACACACAAACAAGGCAATGAAAGGATTCTGGATATTCTGAGACAAACAAGGCAATCAGTGAAAACCAATTATAAAAGAATAGCATCACCTGGTCACAGAAACACCTCTTCCAGGGTGCACAGAATATGGTACTTACTTTCCTCCGACATGGTAAGGTTTGAAGCAAGGCTTGAAGTTTCAGGTTTCTGATCATTGACTTCGGAGTTGCTTACTTGACTGGGAAAACCAAAATGAATACATTAGCCCCTGACTGACCTGCTGCATTGCTAAAAGTGATTAAATCAAACCCTTTCTTCCTAGGTAAGTTAAGAGGCAAGGTAAGTCTACTTTATGAAATACTTATTCTTGGTTTTTAGCGGCTACCTAAAGAGCTAGGGCCAGGGCTAGTACCTTCAGCAGTCTACTGTTCTTCGTCATCACTTCAATCTTTGTATCACTCGGAAATTCCACCTAAGCCACAGGCAAGTCAGATTTTCTCTGAAGACCACATGGTAAAAGAAAAATTCCACAACACCAAAAACTGCTGTCACTTTATTTCCAAAGTACCAAAGGGAAGTAGGAAGATGCTTGATTTCAGACAATGGTCCTCATAATCACTTGACAAGTTTTTTCAAATCATACATGCTTGCTTCCAAGAAGGGGTTCTAAACCTTAAAATGGTGCATTCTGCTGTATTTCCTTCCCCCAATTAAAAATAAACAAATTTTTATTTGTTATCATTCCCAAAACTTAGCAACATCTTTTTTAAAAAACTTATAAGACAAATTAAGAGAAATTGTAAAAGATAAGTCATGTAAACTGGGAGGACAAGTCATTATGTTAGACACTTTAATGTTGGGAAGATCCTCACTGAAATTCTGAATTGGAGATTATACTTTCATCCCTCACAATGTCCTCCCTCTTCCTTCTACCTTACTTTCCACTCTCCACATATTCCCTCAACTACCAGTATAGCACAGTGCTTAAGAGTGTGGATTCTAGAACCAGATTGCTTGAGTTCATATTCCACTTTGCCAAAACTAGCTTTATGACTTTAAGCAAGTCACTGAACTTGTCTGTGCTCCAGTCTTTCAACTGTCAATGAGGGATAATTATAGAAGCTACCTTTTAGGGTTGTTATAGAAATTAATGAGTTAATACATGAAAAGTACTTAGAACAGAGACTAGAACAGAGTAAGTACAACATAACTGTAGCTAGTATTATTACAATACAACTTCTCCCCAGCCCAGGTATCCTTCCCACATTCATGTTCCCTAGCAACAAATCTGCTTTGCTGTTCTACACTCTAGGGAGATGTGGAGGACATTGTCCCAGACACTACACATATCTGGAAAGAGTAGTTTTAAAAAGAAAAAAATTTTTAAAAGAAATGTTATTTATTAAAAGAAAAAATACACAGCACCAAAATTCTTAAAGCTCTTATTATCTTTTCTGAATGGACCTCTAATATTCAAGCATAATAAAGTTTTTTTTTTCCGGGTATATTCTCAATGTTCAAACAATTTTCCCTAAGACGTAATTAATTTTTAAAGGTAAATCCCCAGATGAAGTTTATTTTAACATATTTACTCAACTGTCTGTATTTCTGGAATAGCGCTTAATATACCAACCAAGATATTACTATGGGAATTGAGGGTAAGGGTAAGAAATCATACCGAATAATTACATCATTGTTTCCCAAAATGGCTTATTTCTTATAATTACCTGAGTGGTAAAAATACAGACTTCTGAGCCCCATCTTATGCCTAACTAAATAGGATTCCAAGGAGAAAGGTATAAACCCAGACAAGAACTTCACATTTCTGACTACAATGACTGGTCTTCTATGTGTACCTGAATAAGTCTGGGGTTCACTGTTATACCCACTGTTGAAAGACTATTTCTAGATCCTGTATCTTAAAAGGTATATTTGTATGGTCTGGCATACAATGGACCAGTTCCTAAAATCCTATGGTCCTGTAATCTTACAGCAAAATCCCCTCCTATTCAACTGAGTATCTAGAGATTAAATAGAAACAACAGCACCAAGACAGTGAATTAACTCCAGCACTTTGTTAAATATTTAAAGTTATTGTATCTAGAAAAATTATTAGTCTCAAAATATTTTCAGTTATATAAACATAAATTTTACTTAACAATGTGTGTATATTAAAAAAAATGCTCCAAAATAAAATTTCCCTCCTCCAAAAAAGAGCAAAAACACCCAAACTCCAAAAGTAAGCACCACAAATATTTCATTCTCATTCAATAGAACTCCTGTCAATAATTAACACAACCAACTAAAGAATGGATAAACAAAGTGTGGAACAGACATACAGCGAAGTATTATTCAGCCTTAAAAGGAAGGAAATTCTCACACATGCTACAACATGGATAAACCATGAAGACATTATGCTAAATGAAATAAGCAAGTCACAGAAAGACAAATAACTTATGAGTGCACTAATAAGAGGTACTTAAGAGTACTCAAAATCACAGAGACAAAAAGCTGAATGATGGTTGCCAGGAGCTGGGAAAAGGGGAAAATGGAGTTACTGAAGTCTTTTTGGGGAAAGGGTCAATACTTGATAGTGAAAATATGACAGATCATTTAATTGGAAGTGTATAAGACAGAGGGCTAGTGTGACAATAGAATAAATAAGCTGGAATGAGAGTGTGTGTGGTGGTATAAGAGTAGGATTCTTAAAATTAAGATGTTAGAGGTGATGCAGTTACCGGTTCATATGGTTGGTAGACAAACAACAGAAGGTAAGAACTGTGTACAACTGAAAATCATGGTGTTGTGGAAGCCAGAGCATGACATGCAAAGAAGCTGCCTCTTTTCTATAAGGGGAGCCAAGCTAATGACTAAGGTGTCCCATATCCATTTGGTAATTAATGATTAACCCCTTGGATTTTCCTTATTTCTGTCTTCCCTATTAAGTATACAGTACATCTGACTGAAGAATATTCACCATTGTGTCTCTTCCACATATCACAGGATCTGAGAGATACCATGACATTGGTATATATTGTTGAATAAATAATGAATAAATGAAAAAAATCAGCACCTGTGTGTTTCAAGGACAAACTTTTAGAGGAAAATCTTCACCTTAAACCAAATAATTTCAAAACGTAAAGACTGATGCTAAAAACCAAAAAGAGGGTAGTCAACACAAATCATGCCCATATACTAATCAGCATGTAAAAACAATTATAAGTAGGTCATTAAAAAGAAATTCAACTCTGTATACCTTAAAGTTTGCTCTCCTGATTCCTGCATCTTGGCTTTTTTCACCTGTAAAACAATTATACAAAAGCATCAATGTCTTGATCTGTTTTTAAAATCATCTAGCTACTCAAGTGGCAGCCTAATATTAACTAATAAATTACAGGGTAACTGTTTGCTTTTGTTTCCCTTATTTTATTAATCCCTATTATATTTTAGAGTTAGAGATGTACTTGTTTTTCACATGAGGCTCTCTCTTTTTTTAAATGAAAAGTGTTTCTCAGATTCAAGGTAAATAAAAGGTTTACCAGGATTTTTACTCAACACAGAATGTTTACCAGGATAAGGTATCCAAACTTGGGTACAAACTGGTTAGTTTAAAATTTTACCAGACACACAGTTTTATTTTCAAACAGTAAGTATGGCAATCTCACTATCATCTAATCATTTATTTAACAGAAATATCTTCATATTCAAATTACTTACATGCCAAAAATAAAAATAAATTCTAATCAGGTTACCAGTAATCTAAAAAATATTCTTCACACTATACTGTTTTTTCCCCATATTTTCACCTTCTCTAATTCCTTCTAAGGTAAAAGCATTTTCATTGAAACAGTTTTAAGAATCCATAAATGAAAGATCAATGGTTAATACTACTAAGTTTTCCCTGTTTTTTTATATGACAAAGAATCTGATTTTAGAGTTTTCTGATTAGAATTACTAGTTATAGTAGAAGTATGCTTAGTGTGCTTAGCCATACAAATTATGAATACTTAAAGTATTTCAAGCTGACAAAGAGTACTGCCAACCACTGCAAAGAGAACTCACAGAGGCAGCAACTTTGCTAAACAATTTCAAGTAAACATATCCGGTGGGAATATAGCTATTTAATATGATTAAATTTAACAATTCAGACAAGGTAAATAATAAATACAAGTTAAATACAAGGCACATACAATTTCTCATGGACAGCCACTCCTCATGAGAAAACATGACAAAATAAATAAAACCAAATACTCCTGGTTATTTGCTTATGGCACATCAACTCATTATATAATGCTGCCTAAATTTTCATAGGTACCAATAAAGAAAAAAGGGGCATTAAAAAAGAACCCTCTAGGGACTTCCCTGGTGGTGCAGCGGTTAAGAATCCACCTGCCAGGACTTCCCTGGTGGCGCAGTGGTTAAGAATCCTCCTGCCAGTGCAGGGGACATGGGTGCGAGCTCTGGTCCAGGAAGATCCCATATGCTGCAGAGCAACTAAGCCTGCGAGCCACAACTACTGAAGCCCACGCGCCTAGAGCCCGTGCTCCACAAGAGAAGCCGCCACAACAAGAAGCCTGCGCGTCACAACGAAGAGTAGCCCCCGCTCTCTGCAACTAGAGAAAGCCTGAGCACACCAATGAAGACCCAACACAGCTAAAAATAAATAAATAATTTTTTTAAAAACCCTCTAAATTTAGAAACAAAATTATAGAAGCATATGAAGAAAAAAGAAAAAAAGAAGTTTGAGGTACATAAACCCTTACTAAGCATGATATTAAATTCAAAAGCCATAAAGGAGAAAACAGATTGATTTTAAAAAAATTCAAAACTTCTGTATGATAAAAGATACCAAAACCAACCAGGAGGTCAAGGAATTCCAGGATGGTATACATACTGTGACAAGAGAATTTAATTGTATTACAAACGTATGACATAACCTCACTGAAAGGCATAGGAGAAAAATGCGCTGATGGAGTAATGCTGGAAAACACATTTTGACTGGAAACTGCAAGGCTAAAGATAAGAAAAATTCAACTTTCTAGTTTATCTACTTAATCTTTCTAGTTTATCTATTTATGTCATTTCACAAATGAAAAAATACAGGCTCTTGCTATAATATAAATGTGCTGTCCCTCCCACCTGAAGATGACAGTATTTACATAAGGTCAGATAATAATGTAATTTTCTAATAGTGGTGATGAATCTATGCTTAGCTCACCCAAAGACCCTCTTTGCGATAAAAGAAATGAATTTAAAACAGTCTATGGTCTCCTAACAGTAATCCATATAAAGAAAACTAGAGCACTGAGGAATCTAATTTACCAGTCTTCATTTTATTAGTGCCACAGAGTAACAAATTTAGCTAGAGAACTAAAAAAAAAAAGCCCTGGAGCAAAATTTTAAAATATACCATAATGGCCTTTCAAGTAAGAACTAAGCTTTTTTACTTTCTATTTACTACAGTGCCAACTTGGTACAAAGAGTATGTACTCATAAATAGAAATGGAGAAAATGTACTTAAAGACATATCTACCAAACAAAAACGTCTGGGGGAGGAAAATGTGTTATCAACTAATTTTGTACCTTTCATAGCCCATTGTTAGCCTTGATTTGGGCAATTATGTCCTCCTGTAAGTCAGGGATAGGAAACCTTGGCACTAGAGGCAGGTAAACTAAAAGGATACAGACAGATTTCACTGGATTACAAAAGGATGGGTTCAAACAATACAATCCAGAAACTGACAGAATGTAAAATAGTGCAGCTAGTTTGGAAAACAGTCTAGCAGCTCCTCAAAAGGTTAAACATAGAGTTACTATTATATATAATCCAGAAATTCCACTCCTGACTATATAACCAAGAGAAATGAAAACTCATGCCCACAAAAACTTGGACATGAATGTTCCTAACAGCATTATCCAAAATAGCCAAAAAGTGGAAACAACCCCAGTGTCCATGAACAGATAAATACAATGATAAATAAAATGATGAATGATAAAATAAATCCATACAATGAAACATTCAGCAATAAAAGGGAATGAAGTACTTATACATGCTAACACAGATGAATCTTGAAAAGATTATGCCAAGTGAAAGAAGCCAGTCACAAAGGACCACATATTTTATTAATCCATTTATATGCAATATCCACAAATAGGTCAATAGGAAAGTAGATTAGTAGTTGCCTAGGACTGAGGGAGGGAGGGAATTGAGGGTGACTGCTAATGGGTACAGAATTTCTTTTTGGAGTGATGACAATGTTCTAATATTGACTCTGGTGATAGTTGCAAAACTCTGTGAATATACTAAAAACCATCAAATTGTATACTTTAAAATGGATGTGAATTGTATCTCAATAAAGTTGTCATTTAAAAAAATGACAATCTTACAGGCATGTTATGACTAAAGGTTACACAAAAAGGAAGAACCACTGGCAAATTCATAAATCAGAGTTCTTCTTGTGCCTCTGCTTTAAAAAAAAAAAAAAAATCATGCTTTAAATATAACAGAGCAAAGGAATACATATAACCCAATACACAAATTCCGAATATCCAGGTTCAAGGCTCAGTTCTGAGAGTTAATTCACTGTATGTCTACTTCTCTACATCTGTTTTCTCAACTGTAAAAGAAAACTATGACTATTTCACAGGCCTGCTGTGAAGATGAAATTGGTGGTGGTAGTGGGGCGGGTGGTAAGGGAGAGAACGAATGAGAGAGAGGTGTTTATGAAAGACAAATACATTGTTAAATTTTAATGTTACCACCAAAAGCAGCAAAAACAAAGCTGAATTTCCAAAATTTCAAAGACAAGATTAAGAAATACCACTTTCTAGATAAGAAAATTATATTATGCATCTCAAAAATCATTCCAGAACTATTCTGAGATGACTTTCAAGTATATAACTATAGTGCCTCCTAAGTTTTAACAAGAGGCTAAATCATACTAGGGCTTGGTAAACTATAATCTTGGGAATAATAAATCCAACAGAAGTCTTAATGAAGCCTATAAAAAGGAAGATGTTTTTGTCAGAATTTATCCACCACTGTCAAACAAAGCATATCATTCTCTTTACTAGAAAGTCATACTCTATATTCTAGAAGGGGAAAGGGCTTGATCATAACCTGGATGAAATTATACACAAAAAACATTTAATGCTATTTTCTTTGATTGTGCTTACCAACAGTCATCTTTTTTTTTTTTTTTGGTGGTACGCGGGCCTCTCACTGTTGTGGCCTCTCCCGTTGCGGAGCACACGATCCGGACGTGCAGGCTCAGCGCCCATGGCTCACGGGCCCAGCCGCTCCGCGGCATGTGGGATCTTCCCAGACCGGGGCACGAACCCGTGTCCCCTGCATCGGCAGGCAGACTCTCAACCACTGCACCACCAGGGAAGCCCACAGTCATCTAATTATTAATTTTACTTCCAGAACTTTACATAAGGAAATGAGTATGTAGAGAGTGAGAGTAAGCATTCCACATTACTAGAAACTAGAAAGGTAAATACCCATGGCAGAGACAACTGCCTGCTCCACCATTGCATGTGGAGTGTGACTTGCGATGGGAGGCAAAAAACATGTCTTTTAAGTTCACAGGTACCCGTCCAAAAGAAGTCACATCTGGACCTAGTAGAAACTAGTGGGCATCAGATCCTGGATTTGATCTGGATGCAGCAACTGATGGAAGCTGGGGCTGTTTCTCTTAAGAGGAATGTGTGGGGAAAGGAGTTACATATTGTTCTTTAGATGTGAAAAATGAAACAGGTGAAACAAAGAGAAGATTATTGTAGATTCACTTATAAATATTCAGTGGTCTTTTTCCTGTTCCTGGGCACACAGGATGCTATAGACTGAACGTCTGTGTCTTCCCCCAAAATTCATATTTTGAAATTTTATCCCCAATATGATGAAATTTGGAGGTGGGGCTTTTGGGGTGATTAGGTCATGAGGGTGGAGCCCTCATGAATGGGATTAGAGGCCTCCTGGGAATTCCCTGGCAGTCCAGTGGTTAGGAGGTTCACTGCCGGGGGCCCAGGTTCAATCCCTGGTCAGGGGAACTAAGATCCCGCAAGCTGTGCAGCAAAAAAATTTAAAAATAAATTAAAAAAAGAAAGAGACCTCCTTTTCCCTTTCCACCATGTGAGGTCACAGCAAAAAGATGGCAGTCTATGAACCAGGTAGCAGGCCTTTACCATACACCAAATCTGTTGGCGCCTTGATTTTGGACTTCCCAGCCCCCAGAACTGTGAGAAATCAATTTCTATTGTTTATGAACCACCAATTCTACAGCATTTTGTTACAGTAG